AAAGAGACTATACTTGCAAAACCTTTCATTTGACCGTAAATAGACATGAAATGTGTCATCGCTGTAGAAGCGGTTACACTGCGGTAATATACGAACCTATGGCGACATTTTATTAGTGGAACCCGAAAATTATTCCAAAATTATACTTTGAGCACGGCTTGCTTGCTTACTGCTGATTGGCTACGACGTTTCTTTAATTTGTTACTTATTGACGGACCCCCTACATCGCGATAGCATAGAGCCTTTGCCTCTCTGTGGTAGTAGCCACAAAGCTTAGATAGAATGTATGGCTTTGGGGGACGCTGTTCGCCAACATACATTCTCTCTTATTTTTGCGAAAAACTGACGACAAAAGGTTTATTAATTATTAATGCCTTCAATTTACAAACAAGGCTAATTTTGCCAACTAATCAGTTAACTTTATCGACACCTGTCTCTGAACGTTTTATTAGAATTGCGCTCTATTGCCTTCAAACGATCATTTTGAGTCGAGGCATTTGAGTCAAATATGCAACGAATTTTATAGAAACTGACCCAAGGCAACAATTATTGTTCTGAAGCAGTAGAGTATAACTCCAATGTCTGCTATCATTTGTTTTTTTTAATGACGCTGCCTCTCGTTTGAATCATCGAAAAATTAGAGTTATTTTTATCGCGATAATAGAGCTAATGAGAAATATTATAAACATCCTCGTAAATCAGTCATTACTGAAGGATTCCTGTGTCAAATAAAGTTTATTAAAGTTTATCATACTGTATTATATTTATTTTTCCATAGTAGCCTCCTCCACAGGCATCTCCTTGGCTCTTTTTGCTCCTCGGGTTTYCTGTGTCGAGGGCAAGAACGACGAAGTCTCCTCCTCCTCTCTCGTCCCTAGTCGTCTGCCGTATAATTTAACACAAGAATCCCAACCGAGAATATATGGGGTAGCCTACAGATTAGGCTATTTCCATAGATTTTAAATGCCAAGCCTTAAGACCTAATTTGAGGCTGCCTCGTGATCAGTATGTCATTACCATTGACACAGAGGACCACAAGTACGACTGAGTCATTACCTTTAACGGCCATTGTAGGAAATACCTGATTCAAGATCTGACCAGAACAACAACAACAACAGCAAACAGTCTTTATTTGTACAATTCAGTTACAAAAACAAGAAAAGAACTATGAAAAAGTGTGAAAAAAAGGCCCGAATATTTGAGACGTTATGAGGTAAGACTCTAGATAAGACTAACTACATCAACCAGTACAACAACAGTATCAGCAGGTGKTGGTTTCAAAAGGATCTTTTTAAAAATATCCTATTATTTTAAATATGCGCATTTAACGAGAACATTGGTTATCATGGTAGAACACGGCGATGCAGTACAACGATGAGCAGGGTTGGTAGCTCGATAATATCCCTCTAGTCTTTAGTCGCCGCACCAATTCACAACCGATGAACATTCTCCAGGACCTACATTCCATTTACACCCAACATCTAACCCCCTAGAACTGTCAATAAAGGGATGATATGACCTTTTTTGGCCAAAGTGTTTGACGTGTTAAATTCTATGACCGTACGGTCAAAGTCACGTGATGGGGCCATATCGGTTGACGTGAGCGGGCCGAGAAACCCGTACTGCACTCCTCGTTTTAGCAGGATTTCATTAGTCTTTTTTACGATAAAAATTGGGTCTTATAACAAAATAATTGACTAAGTTAGGTCGGGGAAGACGGAAAAATATTTACCTCTTGCCCATTTGTAATCGCGGCGCTCGGTCCATGCGGCATAACCTTGAGCTAAAGATTTTCCAGTCC